TGCGCGAAATTCCAAAAAACAAACAATTATCCTAAATAGCTTAAAGTTTGTAACAGTATATTTATACTTAATTTTATTGCTCTTTGAACTGTGTCTAACAAATAATTTTCCCATAAAAATTGTAATTTGCTTGATGAACATGCAGCTCACATTACTGCAATGAATTACTTAATGCACAAGCTGTTCACAAGCTTCTCCTGTGAGAAACTTTTATTATTATCATTATTTTTTTTTATCCAACCTAATCTAACTTTACTTAACCTAATAATTTGCTAATTTTGACATTTTAGTTACATTCATAATAATAAATTAAGAATACACATGAAAAACAAGAAATGTAGTGCATACGTATCTCTTCTTATTTTTTGCTATCAACTTTTGATGAAATTTAAGCATAGTTTTTAATACTAATGGTAGTCCTGCAATAAATAAGTTTTTATTTAATTGAATAATGCACATAATAACATAGAATAATAAAATGCAAAAATCTAACAATTATAATTTTTCTGGCTTTCTAACTATACAATTAAAGCTTCTAGAAATTCAGCGAAACTTTTTGATTTGAATCCCGTGAGAAAGAAGTATAGAACTGGAGGTGATACAGACAATTCTTTCTACAGAAAGTCATGTAACATAATATGCTATTTGATGGATTAAAACTTTGGCTTTCTATTGGTTATAAATAATATGGGATAAAATGTCAGAGAAAACTATTGGCAATTTGTAAAAGAGAGGATGTGGCAAATCGGTCTGATTTTCTAGTGTATGCCTCTGTAAACAAATACGATTGAAGAGTATAAATATTTTGCATGAGTAATATCTATATTATAATAAGTAATTTACATTAAAATTACATACGTCTTGAAGGGGTGGTAAATAAATTAGATAAGAGGGAAAACCTCAAGAGTAAATGTTACAGCTCTCATACTAGGGGAGATTTTTTAAAATATTTCCTTACAAAATTAAGAATGTAAAACTTAAATAACATTAAAATTTGATTTATTAAATACATTTTAATGCCAAGTTTATTCATATACATTGATAATAAAGAAGTTAATTTAAAGGGTTAATTTGTACAATGTCTGGTACTCATTTTCTACAAAGTTGCTATTTCATTAATTCTTATATAATAGGATAAACATGTTGAAAAACAGACTTGGATAATAATATTTTGAAGAAAATATGGAGTATAAACATTTGACCCAACAATAAACTGATATTCAAGCAGTTTGAAACTATATGCCATTTTTACAATAATACAGCTTGGAAACTATGCATCTCTTATCACAAAACAGTTTGAAACTATACTCTCTTCTTACAACAATTCAACTTGGAACTATACATCTCTGACCACAAAACAATCTGAAACTATGCATCTTTTACCACAAAACAGTTTGAAACTATACTCCCTTCTTACAACAATACAGTTTGGAACTATACACCCTTCTTCCTGCTAAATGGTTTGTAACTATATCCACTTCTTACCACATAACTGTTTAGAACTATATACACTTCTTGCCACAAAACAGTTTGGAACTATATACACTTCTTATCACAGAACTGTTTAAAACTATATACCCTTCTTTCCACAAAACAGTTTGGAACTATATACACTTCTTACCACAACTGTTTGGAACTATAAATGTTTTTATCATAAAACAATTTGGGACTATACACCCTTCTTACAACAAAACAGAACAGTTTGGAACTTCACATGCTTCTTACTACAGAATATTTAAGAACAGTGCTCCCTTTTTTACTACAAAATAATTTACAACTATATGCTCTTTGTATCACAAAACAGTTTGAAACTATACACTCTTCTTACCAAAACAGAAGTAATAAAACAAGTAGTATATATGCACCAAATAAGTATTAGCTAATAAAACTGAGCCATGGCTCATATTTTATAATGTGCATAATTGTGGCTGTTTAAGTTTATTTGTGCCCACTGCTTGCTGTTTTTTACATTTAATTTTGTGTTTCAACACACATCAGCATTTGTAACACACCTTGAATTATTGCTAACAATATTAGAAACATTGTTCATTGCAGATTTTAAAATGTTAGAACTGCATTGTATAAAGACAGGTAAAATGCATATCTGAATTTTAAATGGAAAGTCTGCTTAAAAATTTGCAAAATTCTGGATATGTTCAAGGTCTTATTGTAAATATAATTAGGAGGGATAGTATATTTTATTGAAACATATGTAAAATATTCTTGGAATTTTCTTCCGTTTAATAATCCGAGAAAAGTGGTTAAATCTTACAAGAAACTGAATGTACATATGAAGGAAACATTTATTGAAACAGCTACGTACCAGTACAAATCTTTTAAGTTGTTAATTCTTGCAGAATACTTCTCCGAAACTCACAGATCATCTAAGTATGGTCAAGTAACTTGAATGCATTTTATAATACTAAATTTTGATGCTATTCATCAAATATTCTAGTCTGATGTATCATTTGTTGTTAAAACAAGAGGGAATCCTCAATAGCCATAGCACTTGAAATTATTTTAGGTAGGATTAGAGTAAATTAATCTAAGAGACTTTTTTTCCTTTTTATTAGATATATTTTTGAACACCAGCAATACCAAGTGTGGAGCGCACTTATACCTGATTCGATTTTATTATTCATCAGGATCTTTATCAGTCTACCATCAAATTGAAATTCTTTTAGGCAGGATTAGAATAAACTAATCTATGAGACCTTGGGCATGATCAAATACACTAATCGAAAAAAGTTTGACCTCCTGGCTCGTTATTGCATAATACACCAGTAAATGTGTTGTATGGTACATTAGTAAATGCACCCCCCAGTGGCACAGAGATATGTCTGCAGAGTTACAGTGCTAGAATCCGGGTTTTGATACCCGTGGTGGGCAGAGCATAGATAGCCCACTGTGTAGCTTTGTGCTTAATTGCAAAACAAACAAACATTAGTAAATGCACTACTAGGTAAGTTTTGTATTAATCTGTTGTTTTGTTTTCAAAAACCATTTTCACAATAGATATAAATAAAGTGTAGTTGTTTTCTCTTTCTTCTCATAAAACAGCTAATGTTAAATGCTGCATATGAATTTCAAGAGTCTTCTAATTATGTTTTATTATTTGAGAGTTGCTATCTTAGTATTGTCCCCAAGATTTATATAAATATATAATTAATTTTACTAGTAAGCCTGCAACCGATCTCCATATCAACTGCTGATACTGATTTGATCTAAAGAATTCACTGATGTTTTTCTTATCTGATTTTTAAGAAGATTGGATCAGTAACTTTGTTTATCTATGAAAATACAGAATACATTCATGTGCCTTTGTGATGGAGGGGGTGCAATGTATCCAGAAATGAGGTCAATTGTGGATAAGCGAAAATAACTTTTGGTGACCATCAGTTGAGGTTACGTCCTGATAGATACTGATTGATTTTTGATTTTTTTAAAAAAGATAAAGGTATTTTGAACATAGTTTTATTTGCCATAAAATATCCTAACATCACTCGTAAAGTGCCTTTATTTCTGGTATTCATAACTATTACTAGGTTCAACCTCCCCCTTCCAGTTTTCATCGCAGGGAGGTTTGTTATATGGCTTAATCGATGAAGAAATACTAAGTGTACATGATTTACAACATTTTGCAGTTGACTGAAGGTTCTTGGACCAGCATTCCACTTTTAGTCCTTTTTGTAGTCTGATAAGAGTATGATTTATTTGAAGATGAGTTTTGAAGCTTGATGCACACCACTAGTATATATACAATAGGGATGTCTGGACATGCAGATTATCAAAATCTGATCTCGATATTGGCCGATCATGGGCACATCAACACTGATCTGATATTTCACTCAGGTCACAGGCTTATTGAATAGCTACTAAAGTGGTTTCAATTACTTGCATGAAATGGCAAATGCCTTTTTTTTAGCTCATTTTCCTCTTCCCCAATTCATATACCATCTGGCCAGGTGGTTAGGGTGCTCAACTCGCAATCTGAGGGTCGCGGGTTCGAATCTCCACCCCGCCAAACATGCTTGCCCTTTCAGCTGTGAGGGCATTATAATGTGACGGTCAATCCCACTATTCGTTAGTAAAAGAGTAGCCCAAGAGTTGGTGGTGGGTGGTGATGACTAGCTGCCTTCCCTCTAGTCTTGCACTGCTAAATTAGGGATGGCTAGTGCAGATAGCCCTCATGTAGCTTTGCGTGAAATTCAAAAAACAAACAGTCATATACCATCTAATCTTGAAATGGTTCTTTTAAAGTTCCTTGATTATTTGTACTCTTAGCCTCCAAAATCTAGCAAGGTAACTGACAGGTGAACAAACTCAAAGTACATTTACAATAAGATATTGTTTAGTTATGTGTGCTCTATTATAAAGTGGGTTTCAATACATTTCTGGCCTGACATAGCCAGGTGGTTAGGTTGCTCGACTTGTAATCTGTTGGTCGCATTTTTGAATCCCCATCCCACAAAACATGCTCACCCTTTCAGCCATGGGGTGCATTATAATGTTATGGTAAATCCCACTATTCATTGGTAAAAGAGTAGCCCAGGAGTTGGCAGTGCGTGGTGATGACTAGCTTCTATCCCTCTAGTCTTTCACTGCTAAATTAGGAATGGCTAATGCAGATAACCCTAGTGTAGCTTTGTAAGAAATTCATAAGAAACTAACAAACAATTCATTTTTAACCTTGTATCACAAACATTTCCAGATTAGGCCTTTCGAAAAAAAATATATATATATTTTTAAAGTGTGAAAACAAGGATGATAACTGGATAAGATTATTTGATTTAAAAAATTACAGAATGAAGATAATTTTATTCATTGCATTTTATAGCAATAATTTATTCACGCATTGTTTACCTGTTGTATAACTAGCTAATTTGTTTGCTATAAATTAATATCTGATTCTGGAATTTTTCCATAGCTGCAGTCCAATTCTAAGCCTATTTTGTTAATATTTACTGCAATAAAGAGCTCACAGTCAGTAGGCTTGCATATTTTTTATTAAGAAAGTACTTTGTATGTTTATAACCTTTTCAGTTCTAGTATGAACAGTTGTTGAAGTTGTATACAAATGTTTTTTTTTTTTTTCTATATTTATACTTACACTTTACCTCCATGGTTTCATTACACACGTTTTCACCAAAACATTTTGTTAACATGATTCATTTATCATTGCACATGCTGGTGATTATTTATATTCTACATATTATAATCTGAGTCAGTTCCATAATCTTTTATCCTGTCATAGTTTTGTCAGCCATTCTAACATACATATGAAATGATGCTGAAAGCTAAATAGATTGTTGTTATAGTATTTGAAAAGTTTGAAAATAAATGTTTTTTTTTGTAAAAAATATGTTCACTTTGTTTTTATGGATAATAGATAACTTTAACGTGTTTTGTATTGTTTAATGTTTGAGATGCTTTTAACCAGAGAAAAAATAATGATTCCCTAATGTCACTAAACATTATGAGAAAAAAATGCTTATTTCCATTAGAAACTTTGGTGCTAAAAATATATAAAACTAGATGTAAATCTTATATAATTAGTCTTTCCCATTGGTAAAAAAGAGAGAGTATTGTCATAAGGTTTTAGTGTATTTTATCACAATAAATTAAGATATTGTGAGAACACCATATTTAATATTTTTAATTGGAAGTGATTCAGTACCATGTGTAAAAGTATTTTTCTTAAGCTTTTAACTTGCAATTTTAAGGATTTTTTTTTATTACTTTTTTTTAGGGCATTGAAGGTGATCTTATCCTCAGCAAGCCTCTTGTGGATCCATATGGACCTCGTACATTTGTTATTGATGAGAGTGCAGGTCAGGCTTGTTTCTTTGTTGGCTTGTAATAGGTTATTAAGTTAAAATTGCATTATGCAGATATATACAGGCTTGTTTCTTTGTTGGCTTGTAATAGGTTATTAAGTTAAAATTGCATTATGCAGATATATACAGGTGAGACAAGTGCAGCTTAGTGGTTAGCATGTGTAACTGTGGATAAAAGGTTCTGTAGTTTGTGCCCCATTACTGCCAAAAGCAAAAATCATGATACATGCTTTGAGGCTGCGAGTGTATTATAAAAGTGATGATAAAATTCCAGTATTCCATTAAAGTAGCTTATGAGTTGACAGCAGGTGGTGTTGATAAGCTGCCTTCCCTCTTGTCTAACATTTCAAAATTAGAGATGTCTAGAACAGATAATTCATTAGTTGCTTTGCATGAAAATTAATCAAAAAAATATGCAGACAGGGTTTAAGGCCATTTTGATGTCTTTATATGTACTGCAGCATTTCTAGGGATTCTCTAGAATTAAAAAAAAAAAGACTTTCACATCTTTTTTGATTTGTATGTGAAGCTGGAATTTTATTTTCGTTCTTGAATAAACTTATATATATATTTACATGACTTTTCTCCAACAAACACATAAAAAAATGAAATTGTCTTAACCAGAGCCTGATCTGTCTTTTCCATATTTTAAACATCTATCCTTTTGTGTTGATGTCTTTATAATGCAGCACAAAGAAATCAGAAGCTTTATCATATCATTCCCCAAATATAATCTTGTCAACTTCAATAAAATCATTTCTTACTCTTCTTTTTTCACGAGTAAACAAGAGAACTTAACCTATCCCCAAGATATAACCTTTTCACTCCTAGAATTATCCTAGTAGCCTTCCTCCGAACCCTTTCCAATAAGTCAGTAGCCTTTCTCAGATAAGTAGACTTTAAATGTATGTAGTATTTCAAGTAAGTATAACTGCTAATGTATTTCTTTTTTTCTGACAAGCATGCAATATAGGAAAAAGTTCTAAGAATCTTTTTTAGTGTGGATTAGTTTTTGTAATTTTTGGTTTGCTGGCCATACAGCATTGGTGCACAGTATAAATGCAATTATTTTGAATGTATTGCTAGCTATTAAATCACAAAGTTTATTAACTTTTTGAGTTGTGTCGCACTGGATACGTATTATTCATAATTTACTTTAGTTGCTTACATATTTCAGTATCAAGTTTAATTCAATTGAGCTGTACTAGCTTCATTTGTAAAACCTTGTCAAACTTGTTTTGTTGTTGGCTCCTAAATGGGTAATGAATCAAAATTACCTTCTATGTACTTATACAGGTTATAACTTTAGTTTTGTGTCACCGTGTGGTCATATGAGTGGGTGGAAATGTCATCAACGTCATTTATGACATCAGTGTCAGTCACGCATCTGAAATGAATATTGTGAATATTGCAAGTGGTTATTTTAAAGAAATTATTATTCCAAGGGAAAAAAAAGAGTATTAGATAAATGTATTGGTTCTCCTTGACATTTTTGTAGTTAATTTCCAAGATTCTGTGTATTCTGTGGTGAATTTTGCTTTGTATTAGTTTTTTCAATTACCTTGAACAATATTATCATGTATTGATGAAATAAAATCCACTATAGGTTAAACTAATGTACCTGGTCAGCTGAACATTTTTTCTAGTTTCCAATCCCAGTCATGTATATATGTTTATATACAACATCATTTTTATGGGTATATAATTTATTTCTCTTTCAAGAAAATCAGTAGATAGTAGCGGGTGTTGCGGTACAGCAATACGAAATGAGTATTGTATTGTGAAGCCATGATATGATTGAATGGATGCATTGTAAGATACGATACAATTTATATATCTTCACGAAATTTGGCAAGCTTTCAGTAAACATAAGTTTTTTTGTACAGAAAAAATCAGAATTTCTAATAAAGTATTTTTGCTTTATAAAAAATACTTTTCTCCATCTAAAAATACAAAAATTCTTTTGTGTAATTTCTAAAACCAACAAAATAAATGCCCAACTTTTTTTTTTTTGATAAACCTTCATATTTTATGTGCTTTATTCACTACCCTAATTTTATGTAAAGTTAGCTAGTTTGATCAGCCTCATAACCACCATAAAAAAATACAAAATAAATCAAAATTATAATTTTTTTTGGATTATGATTGTGCTTGTTTTTTGATAACTTACGCTTTGTAGAGTTTTATCTTCTACTATGGGTGATAGATAAATGAAAGGTAAAATCATTTAAACCACGATGACCTTCTGTTTAATCCTGCAGAATATAGGTCATTTTGATGTGGTAAAATTCGTTTTGTAATATTTTTTCTTATTTTATTAATTTTAACATTGTATAATGATAAGTTATGACAATGATATGATAAGTTTCTTATTTTAATTTTATTTCTATATTGTTAACTTGTTTTCTTTATTATAGATCCTTCACTAAGGGAACTTTTAAAGAGAATTTTACCTATTTGCAGTCATTACTCAGTTGTTGTTCGATTTATTGAAGGTAAGAGATTTTAATTTCATCTAACTGAATTTTTTGTAATTTTTTTGTGTCAAAATGTATGCCTTTTCAGATTTTTTCATAATAAAAAGGATGGTTCCTAATTTTTTATATCGTTGTAAGGCTTACCTGAGTGCTTAAGATTACTAGTTGGATATGTTATCCACTGTATTAGATTGGGAAGTAACTATGTAGTGAAAAGTAAAGATAATAAGCTGTGTGTGTGTTGCACAAGTTAAATCTCTCTAATACGTGTATAACATCCATTGCTGATTTTTCAGAACTTATGATTTGAACTTATGTTTCCATTTAATAAGTTCTGTGGGTCACTGTCATGAATGGTCAGCTGCAACTTGTTGGTTAGCATTTCTATCTAGACTGTGAATTTGAAGGTTCTTTGACATGAAAATTTGCTGTTATTTGGAGCTTTGATTGTGCTATAAAAGTGATAGTCAAATTCTCTTTGTGGAGCTTTGCATAAAATATTTTAAATAATCAGTTCTTTCATAATTGTATTTAATTTTTTGTGTACTTTTGAAAAAGTACTTGAAATGGCTATCTTCAGTTTGAAAGATATGTAAAAATGCTGTTAATAAAAGTTGATTTCAAGTAATCTTCAATATTATAGAATAAAGTTGGATTCTTACTGGGAATTGTAATTGAATAAAAATGTAAAAATTATTGTTATACATTTTATAATCAGCTATGATCTCTACTTTGTTACTCAGAATCCTGTTTTTTATAAAGTTTTTTAGGGGAATCTGATTGAGGTGTTTGAGATTGTTAAGAGAATTGATAGTGTTGGTGCATCATCTTTATTTTGTACTTAATGGTGGGAATGGTAGGCCTAGGAAGCAGAAATATAAATCTTGGCAGTGTGGGAGTCATCTTCAAACTAAGATAGTTTCTAATAGAGGAGTTGTCTGTTGGATTGGATTTCCTTTATATGTGGTGGAAGCATTAAATTTTAGGGAGTTTAAGGAAAAACCTGATAAATATTTCAGTGATAAAGGTTGGTTTTATTATTAGTTAACTTTAGTGGATAGGACAGCCAAGATGGAGAAAGAAGTCCCTTGTTGACCTTAAATATTATGTTATGTTACTTTGTTCATCTGGATGATATAGAGAAATCACAGTACCAGTATGGCCTAGTTAACCAAGCTCTAGCAGCAGCCATGAGACAGCTCTTCAAGGATTATTTTGTGCTTATTGCTCAATTAGAGCATCAACATCGTCAGCATGCACTGTCTCTTCAGAAAGTCTGGTTCTACCTCCAACCAAGTTTAAGAACAATGGAAGTCCTAGCTTCAATAGCAAATACAATTAACAAGGTATGTAGTATTTTTATGTTCCTATCCATTTAGACCAGCAACACCCTCAAATTGGGTTTTTTTAGCTGAAAGTAGATGATTCAAATTTGCAAATGATCAACATTTCAGCTAAACAACTTTCATTATGGTCCTGATGAAGATTGTTTAGCCAAAACATGGATCACAGTCCTTTTTTTATTTACAACTGTTTTTACTATTTCTTTGTTTTCTTCAGATTTCAGTATGCTGAAGCAGCATTTGTTTGTTTGTTTTTTTTGCTTTTTTTTTTTACTTAGAAATATTTGGTCTACAGTTTTACTTAAAATCATGTTCATATCACTAAAATTTTCATTGTACCATAAAAATAATCTTGATATATTTAATTAGAATAATTTCATTTACTCTATTTTTCTGACTATTTTATGACTGCATGAACATGATTTGAGAATACAACAAAAATTAGTGTAATCAAACTTACAGAGCTCATTAACATTAACCCTATGTGAATAGTGTTGGTGCTTTGCACTAACCTCGTTTCTGTGAAGCTATACATAGCAATGTTTACCATATAATTCTGAATATATTTATCTCCTTCAAAGCTAAATTTCAAAGTAATAAGAAGAAAGGAAGTAAGTTTTCATTTAATAATTTGTTCCTAAATTTGTATTGTGGTGACAGTAAAATAAAACAATCAAAACAATAACAGCTATTTCAGATGTTTATCCTTTTAGTAATATAGGGATTAAAATTTAAATATATAATGGAAATAACTAATTAATATAAGTTTTAAAATACATATAGTTTTGTTAAATTGTTTGATAATTATTAATAATGTATTCATTGCACCAACCTTTTATTTATTTTTAGAGCAAATTCTGCATTAGTTTTGTTTTTTCAGGGTGACTGCTTTGGAGGAAGTGTCCTCAGTGTCTTGCATGAGCGAACTGCAGCTTTAACTGGGTATGTAAATTTATTTGTAATGTCATATACAATTTGATTCTGTAGTTAAGCATGTTAAAGGAAATGAAAGTTATTGTTCCTGTATATTTAATATTTGTGATGGATGGATTATAAATAGTAAACATTTTATCATTTGAAAGAAAGATAAAGCAGTTCTCTTCTCACACTATAGCTTTATCCCAACAAAAGTTACTATTCTCTGCCTATCTAATTATTGGTATGAATCATACCTTGTTTGTTCCAGCCTTAATCCCCACTATATTACCCATCTATGTCAATTCGAACCCCATCCCAGATCTGGATATAAGCTCCCTTTTATTACTTCTTATTCACTTTTTCTTGATGGCAGAACATTACAACAATGGTTTTATGTGCTTGCTGTGGGTTTTTCTTCAGTGTTGAATAGCCTTAGTTATACCTACACTTTAGACGATTGTTTTTTTTATTTTTAGACATGTCTATTTGAGCATTGGGTGGGGGGGTTTCCTTGGAGATTGTCCAGTCCCTCCTATGTAGAGAGGTGGAGTCTTACATGTGGTCTGATGTTTTTTTGCAGGGGATCAGGGGTGGACTGGTGAGAATTTAGAATTTTTGTGGCACCTTCCTTTGCTCAGCCAGCTAATAACGAGCCTAGGATGGACATCCCACCTTCTGCACTTTTTTTGCAACTAGTACATCAAGTTTGTAAAGTCTTGAGCATTCCTCCTGTAGCTTACAGCTCTTCTCCTTCTTTATTGGGAGAAAAGTCATTTGGATGATTACCTGGTCTTTCCACGTTTGCTAGACATTGCTGTGCATGCTAAGAGATTTACAACAGTTTTGTGTTTTTATTTTCTTTGCAAATGTTGTCCGAGGCCTGTCACAGATTGCCAGCTCAATTTTCAGTGGATCTTAGACACTTATTGACTATACTTTGGTAAGGTTATCAGCTTCTGCTCTCTCCATGGTTTCTTGGTTGATTTGTTGCTGGGATCTTTTGGATAGAGATGCCTTGCTTGAGGGAGTTTGACTTCTTTTTTTAGCCCTCGGAGATCTCAGAGAAGCTCCTTTTCTCAGACCTTCTATTTTTCCCAGGTATTCCATGGAAGCTAGGGTTGATGTGTCCCATCTCCACTCTTCTCTTTCGACCCTGGCCCTCTGCCTTTCCCGGTCTTCTACCTGCATTTCCCATTAGAGTTCCAGACCTCCTGCATCAGTTCCATGTTCTTTTGGAACACAAGGGAGATTCCACCCATATTAGCACGTATCCTCCGTTTGTGTGGAGCACAGACAATGGCATCAGTGACTACCCTATGGGGTCCACTCCATTGGGGACTCAACTCAGACAGTGTGTGTCAGTATGGGAGATCTTCACCACAGCTCAGTGGGTCATTCAACTCTTACGAGAATATTAGTCCTTCATTTCACTTCTACTCTTACCTGTTGTCTTTCCACTCCCCAAGGATCCTCTTACATTCAATCATTGAGTACAAGCCATCCAGGATCTTCTGCACAAAGAGGCCATAGATCATGTCGACTCCTCTCTCGAGGGTTTTTATTCCCATCTGTATGTAGTACCAAAGAAGACGGGCAATTGGAGACCCGTCATTAACCTTTCTCATCTCAATGATTTCCTCCAGCCCTCTCAGTTTGTGATAGAGTCGTTTTTTTCCGTTTAGTGGTACTTTTCACCCGGTCTATGGATGAAAAAGTTTGATGTCGCCAATGCGTATTTTCATATTCCAAATGCAGTCTTCATGTCGTCATTTCCGTTTTGTGCATGAGAGACAGGTTTTTTCAGTATTGCACTCTACTAATTGGCCTCGCATCTGCCCCATATGTATTTTGGTAGATAATCAGAACCTTTTCACATCATTTTCACTCATTGGGCATTCACACGCACCATTATATGGATGATTAGATTCTTCTCGCTTCTTCCGACACTTGGCTGAACTTCACACTCAATCTCCTTTATCCAAAGCTCTGAGAGCTGGTTTTCTTATTTTATTGCCAGTGGTCTTTCAGACATGGTTTTAATCTTTCTCATCTCACTGTGTTGCATGTTTCTCAATTTCTGACATGGTTATTCAACAAAGGTTTGGTGCCTTCATCCATTTCTTTGTATAAGGCATCTTTGTCAGCTACTTTTCGTTTTTCTAGGAGATGTAACGTTTTTGAGTGCTCAGTTTTGACCTTTCTTCAACATTGTTTCCAGGTTCCTAATTGGGATATCACAGTAGTTCTCCATGCTTTATTTCATCCACCCTTTGAACCTATGGCATCATGTTCTCTATATCACTTTTCACTTAAAACTTATTTTCTTCTGTTGTTGGCTAGCAAATGCTGATGTTCACAGGACTCTTTACCACTCAATTTATGTTCAGTTGTATCCAGATTGGTCCTTTCTACCCAAAACTTCAGCAGCTAGAGAAGGGGATAAGGTATTCTCTCCTATTATTCTTCCCTTCATTTCTCATTTATATAACTACTTGGATCTGGTTAAGCTTTTATGCCCGGTTCAGGCTCTTTGTTGTTATGTTGCATGCATTGAAGCGTGTCAGGATTCACATCACCATTTGTTTCTCCATTGAGATCCTACAATGTCATGTGACTTGTCCCCTGTCACTTTGACAGGTTGGGTTCGTCAGTTGGTTTGTATTGCTTACTCTGGGCTTTCACTGGAGGAGAGGAGACTTCTTCAGGTCTCATCACATCAAGTTCACCATATTTCGATGTCCCTGGTGGTTCAGTTGCATCTCCTGCTGGAGGAGATTGTACAGAATGGTATGTGGACCATGCCTAATACTTTTATATCTCATTATTTACATAATGTGGCACTTGCATCTTCGGATGGTTTTTGGCAACTCCTGTGGCTGTTCTCCATGTCCCAGCTGGATTTTGAGAGAGGTGAGTGACTTCATTTTTTTTGTGTTTATTTCTATTCTTATTTAGGGATCCTCTCGTCATTTTCATTTGAATCCCACTGAGTGGTCGATGTTGCCCGGTCAGGTATGCTTCATTCCAAATCCACACTAGCTACTAGTAGACCATTAAGAAATTTCTTGGTAGCAATGAACTCTGTTGAGATGGAGTGTTCCATAACACTACCTTGTGGTTTTCCGGGTGGTAAACAGTTATATACACTATTGGACTACCATTCATGGACTATCATGAGTAAAGCATAAGGGGATTTTGCCTGTCCCTGATGACCCCTGGGTTGAATAAATTTGGATCAGTTTGATTTTCAAAATACAGAATGTGGTTCATCTATTGCACTGTCTCTGTAGTATTGTTCCTCAGGATTCCTTAATGCGAGTGATCCCCCCATTTCTCTTAGTGGAGTGTGTGAGTCCTTACCATTCCCCTTCCCGTTGCTGGAGTGGTGGACAGAAGTCTGTTCCTCCTGAGTGATGCTTGAACTCATTATTCCACTCAAGGAAAAGATGGTGATGCTGGGTGATCTCCTGCCCATAACTCTGGATGGTTTTCGCAGACGTATGGTGGGAGCCTCTTCATTATCTTCCAAGTTTTCCTTCATTCTCAACCTTGCCATATGACTCCTTTTCCTTGTCTGAATCAGTCTACCCCTAACCTTCCCATTCCAGGCCTTTCTTTTTTTTCTACTCTTCCCAATACTTAACTTCTTTGTCATTGCTCTTCTTGTCAGTGACTATTCTGTTATTTATGGTCTTGTGGGTACTCATCTCTTCCACTTCACCTGCAGATAGTCTCATTTTCTGCCTACAGTCGATTTTCATTTTATCCTTCATGGTCTCTCTCCCCCCTCCTCTCTTCTCCTTGCTCGTCTTCCTATTTCCTTTTCTCCTGCCTCCTACCCCATCTGTGGTTGGCCATGAATGACGTGTCGAACACATTCCTACACATCCTTATTGACCTGTCCTTCATATGTTTTCTATTGTCTGTCCGTCATATTCACATCTTCAAATTCTTTGATATTCCCTCTGACATAGAATCGGCCCCTTTTTGTTCATTTATATCATGAAAGCTTTCACTCACCATCATCACAGCCTGGGACTGTCATTTCTTTTCTTGGACGATTGACTTCTATTTGCCCATTCTTGGGTGGTATTCTCTTCTCTCACCTCCCTTCTTTTGCAGGAGGCTACTTAGTTGGGGTGGCTTGTGAAGATATCCTAGTACTTTCTCATGTCTACTCAATATTTGGTACTCTTTGGAGTTTTCTTCATCTCTTGTCTCAGACAAGCTTAGCCTTCTTTTCTTTGCTTGTGAGCTATGGAGTATCTGGTCACCAGATTTTGTGCTTCTCATTCTCATCCTGCAAGTGGGTTTATTTTGCTTTTGGAGACTGTGGCTTCCATGAAACTTTTCATTCCTTTGGGGTGTGCACAAATGCATCTCCTCAAATGGACCTTTCTGATCTAAGATTTTCTTTCTAGTGTTCCATTGTCCTTGATTGTGAGCTACCCTTTCCAGCCTGTTATAATGGCTGAACAGTGCCAATACCACCTCCGGTGTTCTCTTATCATCCCCCAGACTGGGTCTCCATCTCTTCCTGATGCTTCCCTCTTGGGTTGGTTTACTTTTCTGAATGGTGACATGACTTCTGTCATTTGGATGCAGAAGAAGCATTTACTCCACACTTCAATGTGCACAAATTTCTTCCTATTCATCGGGTATGTTCCCATTTCCCACTCCTACTGGTGGATCACTTGGTTATGATCCACTCTGACAATTTCATGGTCATTTCTTACATCAGTTGTCCAGAGGCATCTGTTCCAGGACCATTTACTTTCGGGCATTGGATCTACTCTACTGTTAGGAGATATGAACTTGGTGGCAGACTGCTCCTCTTGGCCAGTCTGCATTCTACCAATAGAGTGGTTTGTACACCGTCCCAAGTCTTTCGTTGGGTTTGCTCTCCTTTGGGCACATCTCTCCTGGATGCCTTTGCTACCCCCCTCAACTCCAGTCTTTCTCTCTTCTGGTCTTTTGTTCCTCATCCTTCAGCTCTAGCTGTTGATGCTCTCAGCCAGGACTGT